ATGATGGGGGGAGGAAGTGTGGTAGGGAGCGAGGAAGGAAGGAAGGAAGTAGGGAAGGAAGGAAAAAACAAAGAAAGAAGTTACAGTAAAATAAAATAAAGTAAGATAAAATATAATGAAGTTATTAAAATAAAAAAATTATTAAGAGAAAAAATAAAGAAACAAACAAAAAAAACGGACGCATATAGCCCTAGGACAAATGGTGGAACCAAAGCTATACAGACAAAATCTCACACAGAAGCATACGCATACACACTCACAAATAAAGGAAAAGGGGAAAAAATCATAAATCTTGCTCTCAAAGTCCACCTCCTTAATTTGTGATGATTCATTGTCTCTTCTTGTATTCCACAGATGCAGCGTACATCAAATTGATTGTGGAGCTTTAATCTGCTGCTTCTGAGGCTGCTGGGAGAGATTTCCCTTTCTCTTCTTTGTTCTCCCAGCTCCCAGGGGCTCAGCTTTGGATTTGGCCCCGCCTCTGCGTGTAGGTCGCTGGAGGGCGTCTGTTCTTCGCTCAGAGAGGATTGGGTTAAAGGAACAGCTGATTTGGGGGCTCTGGCTCACTCAGGCCGGTGGGAGGGAGGGGCACGGAGTGCGGGGCCAGCCTGCAGCGGCAGAAGCCGGCGTGACAGCCTTAGGCACGCTGTGCGTTCTCCTGGGGAAGTTGTCCCTGGATCCCGGGACCCTGGCAGTGGTGGGCTGCACAGGCTCCCCGAAACGGGTGTGTGGATAGTGACCTGTGCTCGCACACAGGCTTCTTGGTGGTGGCAGCAGCAGCCTTAGCGTCTCATGCCTGTCTCTGGGATCCGCGCTTTTAGCCACGGCTCGCGCCCATCTCTGGAGCTCCTTTAAGCAGCGTTCTTAATCCCCTCTCCTCGTGCACCAGGAAACAGAGGGAAGAAAAATTCTCTTGCCTCTTCGGCAGGCCCAGACTTTTCCCTGGAGTCCCTCCTGGCCAGCCGTGGTACACTAATCTCTTGCAGGCTGTGTTCACGCCGCCAAACCCAGTCCTCTCCCTGCGTTCCGACTGAAGCCCAAGCCTCAGGTCCCAGCCCCGCCCGCCCTGTTGTGGGAGCAGACAAGCCTCTCGGGCTGGTGAGTGCCGGTCAGCACTGATCCTCTGTGCGGGAATCTCTCCGCTTTGCCTCCCGCACCCCTGTTGCTGTGCTCTCCTCCATAGCTCCGAAGCTTTCCCCCTCCGCCTACCGCAGTCTCTGCCCGTGAAGGGGCTTCCTAGTGTGTGGAAACCTTTCCTACTTCATAGCTCCCTCCCATTGGGGCAGATCCCGTCCCTATCTTTTTGTCTCTGTTTATTCTTTTTTCTTTTACCCTATCCAGCTACGTGGGGGGTTTCTTGCCTTTTGGGAGGTCTGAGGTCTTCTGCCAGCATTCAGTAGGTGTTCTGTAGGAGTTGTTCCACGTGTAGATGTATTTCTGGTGTATCTGTGGGGAGGAAGGTGATCTCTGTGTCTTACTCTTCAGCCATCTTCTCCTCCTCTCACTCTTTATAGCAGTTAATACTGAAGAGTTTGAACTGTTGGGTAGACTGGAAGGAATGCTGAATCAGAAATTAGGTAAGAGGAATCCTAATCTCCACTCTAATGCCACTATTCTTTTTTTACTAATTTATGCATTTCTAACACGAATGGGGTTCTTTTCTGTTTTCTTTAAGGGTATTACAGGTTCTAATATTATATAAAATTAACATTTAGAAAGAGGAATTCAGCAACAGTGGTTTGGTGACTTGTAAATTAATTGCATAATTCAACATATTTATATCTGGATGCAGTAACCCAAGGAATTGCCAAACCTATGCCTTCAAGAGTTGGGTTTTCTTCACTCATTATTATTTTCTTAGAACAGAACCATCATAGTTCAAAGGTGTACAGGTAATGTGAGAATGTAATTTAATTTGCTCACTTAGTTATAAATTTATTGAAGGTCTGGTGTGTTCCCATATTCCTATACATGTGTGGATATAGGATGAGGATGGTTGAGAATGAAGAGATTGAGATTTGGAGGTTGAGGAATAGATTAGAAAATGGCACCATTTGTTTGGGGGTATGGCACTAAGCTAGGGTGTTGTCAGTACATGGGAGAGGTAGCTTTCAAAATTCTCCATTTTTCTGAGGATTTCCTCTTCTGTGGAATGCTGTCAATCACTTCCCTTTATTTTCTTCTCCTCATAAACCTTCTGCTAACATACAAATTATAATTTTCAGGATATTAAAAATTATATTTATCTTCACTGAGCGATTTTCAAGAATGATTGATGGGACACACAAAGAAGTGATAGATATTAAAACTCAGTATTACCAGTCATTACTTATTTGGTCTATACTGACAGTTTAATTTGTACTTAATGAAACAAAAAAGAAAACTATATTTTCACCAATAATTTCCCAAGTATTCTATCATTTAGTATAAACCTCATCTCCTTAGATAAATAAAATTTTGTTGATATCCTGCACACATGTACTAACACAGGTAAATATATCTTCCCCTTTAGCTCCATTTTAAAGAGTATAATAATTAATGGAGATAATTACTGGAGTCTCATTCATGTGAATGAGTGATGGGGCAGAAAGTGTCCCAAAGTGCTCAGATTTTATAATGTGTATAATTTGCCCTGGGAGTTATCATAGACATTAAAATCTAGTCTATAACAGAATTCATATTCATATTATTTGCTATAGTAAGAATTTACTCTATTTGACAACCTGATCCTGCATTAAAGCATTTCCTGGTATTTTATCATGTTAGTAACTAATATACAACATATGCTTTGGGACTGAAAGTTTTTCTTTCATAGTTTTAGAAGATGTCCCAACCATGAAACACCTGTGATTTAAATGTTTATTATAATATTGTAAATTTGCTAAGCATTTTCCTTTATTTGATGAATCTCCATCTTTTTCTAGAAATTTTGTAATACTCTTTGTAGACTAGGTCATAGGCTAGTGACAGGGTTCAGAACATGCTATCCCAAAATGTGACATCTTGACATGGTGAACATTTTAAGGTGAAGGGATGTGAGAAATGACAGGTACAGGAAAGACCTCCCCTATCTTTCTTGAAGTAGGTTATAAGACCCTCTTCTGAGAGCTGTCCCTGCCATACCTGGAGGAAAAAAAAAATCTTTATCTCTAAAGGAGGGATGCTGAGAGACTCAGAACTAACAGGACTTGCTAAGTTCCTCCAATTTACCACACTTAGCTCATCATACCCTTTTATCCTATTACATTTTTCCATGACTTCCCACACTTCATCAAATCTACTATAAAAATGCTCAAGCTTAACCACTTCTTCAGGTCTTCATTTTATAATGAAGTTTCCAGAGTCATATAAAACTTAAATAAATGTATATGTTTTCTCTTGCTAACATCTTTTGTCAGTCCAAATTACAGGACCCCAGTGTGAGAACCTAAGATGCGTACAGGAAGAGAATTTTCCTCCCCTAAACTAGTCAGCTGCTTACATTACCAGAAGAGCATTGGAGGGTTTGAACAATTTTCTCCTGCCCCATTACATATTTCTTCTTTCTGCCTGAAATTTCCCATGCAGTGCTTTGTGCCTTTCTTGGTTCTGGGTTCCTTTACTCTCTTTTGAAAATATCATTATGATAGGAATAGAGTAGTATAATTAAATAGTCAGTTTAAAAATCCCACTAGGAAATTAAGGACAGAAAGGGAATTTTAAGGGAGTTTGGGAAACTGTTGTAAGCTAATGATCACTCAAGAAAAGAATCCAGTAACCTAGCAACAATCTGCACTTCCTTGAAGGAAGACCAGGTGTATCAAGTGTCAGACACACTCAAGCCAGAAGTCCTGCTAATCAAAACACAAGACAATAAATATGGGGCCTGAATCTTGTTATATGAAGTCAGAGAGTTAATAGTCCCTGAAGAGTAGCATTTCTGCATATAGCCAAGACAGAAATATAGGTGAAAGGGGAAAAAAAAAAGAAAACTAGTTGAAAGGGGACAACATACGGAAACCTAAGATGAATTACCATATTTTAGTATATGTTACTACCCTCTTGTTAATATACATATGATTTAAATAGTGCCATGAGAGTCACAGTTAAACCATAAAAGGCCAAGGGATGAACTAATAATGTAAGCCTTGACGTCTGCCCAAGAATGAGGAAGAAGATGGTCTTCTCCCCTCCCCACTTTTTCTTTGATTATAAAAGTTTAGTACTCTTTGTTCTTGGGGCTGCTGTGCTCCCTTGCCAGTCTGCTTGTATCGCTCACAAGTATCCTATGCTAATAAATTCACTCTTTGCCCCACAGTGAATTCTTTCTGCAAAGAATGAGACAAAAGAACCTGAGCTTCATTAAGTCCTGAAAACAAGTGAGCAGTTTTAATCAAGACAGTGTGTTTGAGGCCCCTCCTAGTCAGGAATCATACGTTCAAGTCCCAATCTGAGTTTTAGCTGGATTTGAGTCCCATGCAAGAAGGAGTGCAGTTTCAATTATCTTCTATCAGGTTTTACAGTCCTTCATGATACAATAGATGCTTCAGCCAGGCAGAAAAAGCTCTGAAAAGGGGGATGGACTATACTCTAAATAAAAGTCACACTTTTTCCTTGGCCTTACCTAGATGATTTCTAAATAATTATTATAACCTTTATAATACTATACTCCTTCAGGGCATTTTTTGGTTTATACATAATTTTAAACTATATGCTTTTTATCCACAACAGTGTAAAATGACATAAAATTAAATTTAAAAGCTAATAGACTGGGTTTCAGAAGCAAATTTTATTGTAATCCCGTTAGGCTGGAATGATGGAGCAAACCCAGATAGATGAAATATTAAAAAATTAATGCAAGGGCCTAAGTCAAGAGCAAAGCGCGGGACCGACGAAAGTACCAGCCCACGGTATCGTCATGCCCTGGAGACGACAGAGCGTGCCGGCTTCCGAGGAAAGCAAAAATTAAAAAGACCCTTGACATTAGGAGTAGACTAGAGGGATGTGAAAAAAATCTAAAGATGAAGGTATTTCAGACCATCTGCAGGCAGCTTATAAGTTCAAAGGGGTTTTCTGTAGAACCAGCCCCCAGTGTGGTCTTGTCCACTTCCTCTTATATGTGTGGCGGGAAGAAAAAAGTGAACCGTTATGAAGAAGAGGACCCAAAAAAGTACTCTGATTTAGTAAGGTCTGTCTTGTCATTCAGAGGCCACGCTCAGACTCCACAGCCTTTGTTCGAGGAAGATGCTTTACTCTATGGACCTGTGAAGAAGTGTAAGGCCCCAAAGCAAGAAGAAGGGGCAGGAGGTCCATGAAACTGGGGTCCTCTCTTCAATCCGGAGAAAAGCGGAAAACCAAATGATCCTACAGTTCCTCTGAAAATCCCTTTGCAAAGGAATATGATACCAAGGGTGACCCGAGTCCTTCAGCAGACCATGAACTCAGAACAGATTTCCTGTTTGGAGAGGTGGAAACAGTGGATGATTCTGGAACTGGGAGAGGATGGTTTTGCAGAATATACTTCAAACATGTTTTTACAAGGGAAGTGGTTTCATGAAGCCTTGGAAAGCATACTTTCACCCCAGGGGAACTTAAGAGAGAGAGATGAAAATCTCCTCAAACCTTGCTACATCCAAAGGGTCCAGCATGTTCTGAGAGATGTCAGTGGAGTGTGGGCTCTGGAAAATGCTGTTAGACGTGAGACCCTAAAGTATGTAGGTCTGCTGCACTGTGTGGCTGATTATCAGGGAAAGCTGTGTGTGACTGATCGGAAGACATCTGAGAAACCAAAGCCTTTCATCCGAAATACATTTGACAACCTGCTGCAAGTCGTGGTGTATGTCAGTGCCATAAACCATAAGGCCAACTACAGCTTTCAGGTTCAGTGTGGCTTGATCGTGGTGGCCTACAAAGACGGGTCCCCCGCCCACCCACATTTCATGGATGCAGAGCTCTGCTCCCAGTACTAGGCAAAGTGACTTCGACTAGAAGAATATACAAAGAAGGAAAAGAACCTGAATATTCAGAAACTAGATTAGGGGCAGGAAGCTGTGTGGGAACGCTCAGGACTTTCTCACAGTTTGGGAAGATGTATTGCTGTTTCCTGTGATCTAGAATGAGGTGCCACAGGGTCTGAGAGCTGCAGTAACACAAGCTGAACTAGTAAGTTGTTGAAATTTATTGCAACCAAAAAGGCAAAGCCGGAAAAGTTAAATTAAAAAGATGGACTTCGGCACATAAAAGACCAGCTCTGCTACCTCTGACTAGCATTTACCCAAAAAAAGGGTAAGCAGCATTGGCACAGTGTTGGTGCCTCTTGGACCCCTGTAGACCTTTCTGTGTTCTGGGCAGGATGCCCAGTCTTTGAACTGAGAGATTCAGGGTGGTGAGGCCTAGTGCTCAGAGCATTTCCCCCGGGGCACGCCAGCAGGGAGGGCTGTGCACCCACAGTGTGTATGTGCAGTGAGAATTTGTATCAGCTAACAACTGCTGCCAGTGCGGGCTTCTAAAATTTGTCTTATGTATGGGGTTCCCTGTATTTCATTTGGGGGGGAAAAGCTCCCATTTGACATCTTTGAAAAATAAATGTGATTTCTTAGCCTCAAGTAAACATTGCTCTCTGGAAAGATGGAGTATACTCACTATATCGTGGTCTATGCCCCTTGGCATCCCACCAAATAACACTCAGGAGCAGCCAGGCTCCAGTCTGAGAATTGTAATTGTAGGTATTTTAGTAGCTATCTTCTGGTTTGAGTCAAGGAATTGTGTACGTGGAGAAAATGTATTTATTGTTTGTTGAATTTTCCAGCAATGGGGAAAAATAATAACATGTAATTTTTTCTATGTTTGATAAGTAATAAAATTGATTAGTTGTCACTGGGTTCAGGAAACTTAAATAAATGTCCACTACAGCCTTGGGGGAAGGCTCCCTGTTTTATGGAGTAGGTTAGCATTTAAATTACAGTTGCTGTCTTAAAATAGTAGTGTGCTACAAACACCTTTTTCCTTCATTAGCCATTAATTATAAGAAATTAAATACAAGATGTGAGTAAAGTAAAAATAATAATAATAATGCAACAATGTTATATTTTAGTTTGAATAATAAATTTTACAATTAAAAAAGTATTAAATGAGTTGGACCTGCTATGACATCTGTTCAATGAAAAAATACATGGGGGTTAGAATTAGTCAACAAAATTATCTGACACAAAATAAATTTGAAGGAGATGCACAGTTTAGGGGAGATTTTATTATTAAATTTCAACATATCACAGGTTGGTTCTTTATGTTGGATTTGTTATGGTGACATGAACATTTGTTCTTTTTCCACTTGCTCGATCCACTACCTGGGCTGGATTTCATCCAACCTCTAAGACGAACATGTTTTCACCCCAGTACAACCCTGAGATGAGGTCTGCCTACAGCTGGACTTCTTATACTGGTTTCCAAACAGCTGATAGCTCAGGGCCTTGTCTACTTGGGGACTGGAAGAACTTTGCTAGCAGATGACACAGGTGGTTGCTCCTTTGTTCTATTAACATTTACAGAATTGAATTGTTTTTATTCTGTCTAGAGCAATGGTTCTCAAAGTATGGTCATGTAACCCCTAGCAGTCTGAGAGACTCTTTCACAGGATTAATGAGATTCTCTCTTTTTCCAACTTCCTATCTGTATTAAAATGGATATTTTTTTTTCATATACTCAACCAAAATATACTGAAGCATGTTGAATACAGAAGTAAATAGGTGACTGCAAACATCTTTTAAGCTAGGTATCTTTGGAAATTTAAAAATAAGTAAAATAATGTCATTCTTCTCAATTTATCTTGAGACATAAATTTTTTAAAGTTACTTGTTATTATATATTTTAAATTTTTATTATACCTTTTTAATAAATTAGTTCAGTTTTATAAAATGTAGTTTTAATTTATAATATGGTACATATCAATAGAAATTATCCATATAATCAAAAGCTATTTGGGGTCTTTAGTAATTTTCAAGTGAAGGGAATGAAACTAAGACCAAAAAGTTTGAGTTCTATTGATCTAGGGAAAAATCTTAGCTTGATAATATAAAAGCAGGTAGAAAAATTATGATTATTCATATTCAATTAATATTTATATTCAATTAATAACATTTCTAAAGCCTATAGTTAAAGACTAAACAACATGGAAGCTCACTTGGTCAATATAATTATATATGACTCCAGATCTCATTTTTTAATTTTTGTTTTCTGTCTTCTCTTCTCTATGTTTCCATGTCATATATTCATGGCTAATGTGCTTATATATTTTCCTTTTTATCTTTCCCTTTTCCTCTCTCTGTTCCCAACTGTTTCTCCTTTCTCTCTCTCTATCTTCCCTCCCAGAACTTGCTGCCATCTTTTCCTATTTTACACTACTGTAAATACTACTGTATTTAGTATACTATGTACTACTGTACATAGTATCAAATCACAAAATTAAAAATATATGCTTTTCTTAGTAAATAAAATTTTAATATATTTATATCAAATGTCTCCTTTTACTCTCCCCTCAAGGTAGCTAAAATTAAAAGTTTGGTGACATTTCTAAAAACCAAAAAGACACCAAAAATAAATTTTTAATTCATACTTTAATGTAGTATTTGAAATTTTCTCTAGAAATATTTTAACATTCTTAGAAAAGCATAAAAGGAAAATAAAGTAAAAAGCAAAGAAAATTATTTTATTTATGGGAAGTGAAGTCTTCAAATGAGAAGAATAAGTGAAATGTGAAGAAGAAGGAAGAAATTGTGACAAAATCTGAAGCCAGGGGCTTATTAATATCAATATTTGTTTTTAAACTGTTATTTGAAATTATTTATATGATTTTTTCCAGAGAGTAAAATGGAGAAACTCTGCCAGGGAGAAACTCTGCAATGGGTAGAAAATTTGGCACAATGTAATGACACATGTCAAATTTGAAGTTTGTTTTTGCTTTGTGTTGAAATTATACTCTGTTGTGCCTTCTCTTTACTAAAATTATATTACACACAAAACGTTGGGGGTTCTACTGTTTAGACCCGTCATGGAGTGGAAGCTGGATGTTTAAAGACAATGGCAGCCTTAGGAACCGAGAGCAAACTCAAAGCACCTGACACCAATGAAGCAGCTGGAGATATAGATTGACTGAGGGAAATTTAAGTCACATTTGGAATCTTCAAAGGATAGAGGAAGGTATACTGACCTTCATATGATGTGTTGTGCTGGGGCTTGAATTTAAATCATGAAATTTATCTCTCATTAAATTGAGAGATTTTCTAACTTCTAATCCAGTTATTTTAATTATTTTTGTATTATATTTGTTAGTGTTATCTTCTACCAGAAGTAAATTTAGATTCTATACTGAATCAGTGGCAAGAAACTTATTTCTCTCTTGCATTCATATTAATATTGTCCATTATCAAACATGATACTAAGTGTATTCAGTAAAGACTGGTGACTGACTTGCCACTGATAGAAAGAAATACATCAATTTTTTAAAGCAAAAATTCAAAGAGATGGCTATTTAACTTGTAAGATTACAGTCTGTTGCCATCCTGGTGAAATAGTTAAGGAAAAAAGTACAATGAATTAAAACATTTTCTGGTTTGAATCTTGACTCTGTAACATGTTTGTTACTTTGAGAGAGTTACTAAATAATTTAAATAATTTGTTTTGTTTCTCAGTTGCCCCATCTGTAAAGTAGATTAATAATAATACCTACTATTGAATTGTTATGAAAAGTAAGTGAAAAAAAAATATAAAAAACTTAAACTAGTGATTGGTCAATTCTAAGGTCTCAGTGAACATTATCAAGACCTAAAAATTATTTTATTTAGAATGATTTATATGATTTCTCTTTTCCAATGTTGCATCAGGGTCAAATTGCCTGGAATATAATTTTTTTACAAACCGCAACACACCTATGTTCATATGATGTTATCCCATCTGTTTGAAATATAACATTTCAATCAAATGGTGTTTTGCTTTCATGAATACACCTGGATTGATAGCTCTTGTATTATCCTGGGAATGCCAGTTGTTTTTGTTTCTATCTTTTTGTCTTTGAATTAATGAGTCAGTAGAGAAGAGAATATAATTAATGTACTGGTTTCAAAGATTGTTTAAAACACATGGTACACTGAAATTTAAAAAAAAAAATTGTTTGAGCCTAGAATATATACCATGATTACTTCATTAGGGTTGTTTTCTGTTGTTTGATCTTCTTAATATATAAACTGTAGCACTACTAGTACAGCACTCCAACTCTCTAGAGAAAAACCTAAGTGAATTACATAAAAATAACAGGTAAACCAGCATTGACATACATGGTGTTAGTGAATACTGGTGTGAGAACTCTCAAAGACAGCCTGTACTTACCTTTCATAAACAATGATACAGTTGGAGTTACTTGGAATTTGTCTAGGGTTTAATAGAAAGATCACTGAGCAATGGTGTGAGCTGAGTTCTCAAAATGGCTAACGCTAAGTTAATTCAAACTAATCTTAATAACAGCTCTAGTTTAATTTCCTTAACTCTAAACCACAAGGGCTATATCAGATATATTATTAATTTTTATTCTACTGTATTTTTATTCAATAAATAATTGTATGACTGTTAGGTACCCTGTTAAGTTTTGGGACACAGAGTTGAAATAGGTAAACCCTGTCTTGAAGGAACTCACAGTAGAGTGAAGGACACTAAAGGTTATGATATTTAATCCCAGGTTCTTATTTAGGCAAAGAAGAGAAGAATGTAATCTAATCTTGGAGATGAGTAATTATTTCTCTGAGACAATGGGGACAACTCTGAATCTCAAATAGTGAATATAGTAAATGTGTGTTAAAAATGTGCATGGAGTAGGAATTAGTGGAGACTTCCAAGCAAAGGAAACAGTATATTCAGGAGTACCAAAGGCTAAGGAAACGTGATAACTTCAGGAATTGCTGGTAATTCAGTATAATGGAGC